ACTGATGTAGATGCTGTTGTTTATCTGATGCTGGTTAATCATATGATTCATGGGCTACAACCTGAGGCTGTCACCATTGGTTAGGATGTATGTTCTATAACTCTTCTTTGAGTCACATTGAGCATCCTTCGACTTATAATCATTTTTCTGTTCCAGAATTATGATGTCCGCTTTAAGTCTCCTGTCTCCTTTACAGCAACATTTGTTGCACTGGGTTGCGTAAATGGAATGGGGTTTCAATACTTTTTTACGTGATCCATGAGGATGCTAAGTGTAGAAATGGTTTTGAAAAAGTTTGCACACATGTACTTGTCTGTGCGTAAGCCTACCAAACATTTGTGTATTGTACATGTTTTTCTAATTCTCTACTGCTTCATCACTTCTCTTCATGCATCAATTGAATTCATATGCCATGAGTAAGTAGGTTACCCTGCTAGTTGTTAAGTGTTTTGATATTGTAGAATGAACTAAAGAATTGAAAAAAATGCTTGTTGTAAATTGAACTAATTTTTATTGTAAACCAAGAGTTATGGAAACATAGCAACTAAAGATGCCAAAAATGAAAATTCCAAAAACACTTGAAAGGAACAAACAAGAATCTCTAGAAATCTTAAAATATCCTTGCTTTTCACATATTTCATCTTTTGTACAAATAATTCACCTAAAGAGCTACTAGCACAATAAAAGGTAATTTATGTTTTACCCTTTAGAAATATTAGCATAGTAAGGAACATTTAATTGATAAAATGTTTATATTGGAGTGATTTAGTTGCAGATTTTCATATATTATTTACAAAAATAACATTCTTTATGTTCTGTGAATGTTGAAGAGGAAAAGAAACAATAGTTGAAGGTAGACTTCCACCATCTTAAATTGTCATCTATCATAATAATCAATTCTCCCCTGCTTTTCTCTTTGACTCTGACCCATGTGCTCTAAGATGTATGCCTCAAGAAACTGTAGTATTTTCTATACCAACTGTTCATAAGCGATGCTTATGTCTTCTCTAAATGCAACTGTTGAAAGAAGTTAAAAGTTATCTAAGTTTGGTTTGTCAAAACATTTAGCTTAATGTTAAATCTGAATGTAAACATGGACTTTATATATATACATATATATGTATGTGAGCATGAATGTTCTTCTTAATGTCTTAATGGACTGAAGATTAGGTGTATAGTCTGGTGCAGTTGGTATTCTTAAAAGCTCCAAATAGAAAAAGTTAAGAAGATAAACCCTGTCAAAGTTTCTATAATTAAGTGCAAAAGTCACCTTGCTTATGTAACAAATAATTGTATTAGCTAATTCATATATTTAATGCCATGCAGTTTCAAGTATAAAAGGGAAGGTGAATGTGTTTTAAGTGCTTAGAAAGCTATGTTGATTTACATTGGCAGTGATTTATTGTCTATTTCTATATTTAAATAACATCTAATGGTCAATTCTACAAATATTAATTGTTTTTTAACAGAATGAGTTTGGTGTCTGGGAGATCTTTTGGCCTAATAATGCTGATTATTCACCACCAATTCCCCATGGTTCTCAAGTGAAGGTAAATTACCTGTAGATGAACATAAGTTTGGCTCTTAAAAGTTATTGAGCTTACATTCAAATGCTACTTGTTTATTATTTCCTTTTGCCACTTTTTAAGTCAGAGTAAAAAGAAAGTATAAAAACTTGCAACTCTTTCCCTGTAGATCAACAATGTATTTAACCTTTTGATCATGATCTGTGGACCAGGAACCTTAGTATGATGCTTTTTTTTTTTACATTGATCCTATTGCATGTGTATATGGTTTGAATAAATCAGTGGTTTGTACTACAACCTTTACAATAATTAATTACTAGAATTCATGACATAAAGGCATTGAAGTATTTAATGGGGTGGTCTCCAAGGCAATCAAAATTATTCAAGGTAGCTGAGTTCAAATCCAACTAACTCCTACCCCAAAAAGAAGGGAGAAAGAAAGAAAAGATGAAGATGAGCAAAAAAACATTTTTTTGTTGGACTGTTATGATCATGTCAATTATCATTCATCCAAACCTCTTTTTCCATGTGTCCATTTTAACTTTTTGACCATATAATTGCAGATTTGTATGGAAACTCCATCTGGGATTAAGGACTCCATTCCTGCTTAGATCAAGTCCTCTGTTCAAGCACCAAGTGAAATCCCATGCAACAGAATGTACTATGGTATGCCAGAAGAGGTATAGTTAGTGGCTGTTTGATATTTTGGTTTTGTTGGAAAGATTAGATAACTTATTCTTTTAAAAACTATAAGCATATGAAATATTTGGAGCTTGGGGAAAATCAGAAATACCAACTAATGTTTATGATAATTTTAAAATGACTGTATGTGTGTGAAGATACATAGACAATAGCATGCATGCATGCCTACGCACAAATATGATTAATTGATTATATAAACAAATAATGAATTTCTTATTCATCTTAGAGTAGGTTGTTTTGATGAATGTCTTCCTTTAGAACGTTAATATTAAGATCAATGCCCTTAAAGGTTTTTAAAAAAACAATTTTGATTGGTTCTTTTTCATATATGAAGTCAGTTTCTAAATTGTGTTCTCGCTTGTTCAAGTTTAATCATTGCACAGCACAGTCAACTTAGTTTAGTCTGTACTATGTGTCTTATCTCAAATTTTTGTACTCTCCAACCTGACTAATGATTTTTATACTGTAACAGGAAAAGTATGTATTCAAACACCCCCAGCCAAAGAGACCAAAATCATTTAAGTCTATGAATCACATGTTGGAATGAGTAGCATGGTATGCATATTCCTATTCCTTGCATGTAGCAAATTGTTATTCAACTCTTTTGTCTCTGTGCTGAATTGCACTTCCTTGGTTTATTTAATCTTAAAAGAGGAAACCTTAAGTTTGATAAAAAGCTTCATTTAATGCTATCACGTGTGGGATCATATTTTTATGCTATTTCTTTCGACCCTTCCTGTGAAGTGTTCTTGCAAGGTTTTGAGATCGAAAAGTAAAACAGGAGGTTTTATAAGACAATACATTTTATAGGAAAACTTATCTTTTTTCTAGTATTTAAACCATCAAATTTAACCCCCCCCCCCCCCCCCCCCCCAAAAAAAAAAAAGAAGATAGAGAGACATTTTGACTTGCATTGAACACCTTTAAGAGCATCAAACAATATAGCTATCTGGAAAGGCCAGTAAATTTTGAAATAGAACTTTACTGCATCCCGTAGGCAGGGTGGCCTCTCTTAAAAGAGAAAATCTGTCAAATTAAGCTAGCAAATAGCCACGTAGGTGTATACGGCCTACTTTTCGTATTTGGTTAAAGGAAGTTTTTCCATTTGGATTATACTAAATAATGAGTATTACTTTAGTTAATGATAATGCAAATGCCAAACAGCTAATGACTTGGATCTCTGGTAACTGCTTTGTGCATAGAAATATCTTAAATAGCAATTTCAAATTAATAACATAGAAGTTGGTTTGATTGCATTTCATTATGATTCTTCACCCATTTCTAAAACCCATTAAGAGGCTTAAATTTGCAATTAAACCAAAATTTATCTCTAGTTTTCGTCATACTGTCATTCAAAGAAAATTTGTCCCACAAAACCTTTAGTCTTTATCTTCCATGGTAAACTTTGGTATGGTTAATCCATTTCCTAGTTTTCTTAATATTATCAACTCTGAGATGCAGGAGCCAATAATTAACACATATACCAACTTTAGAGATGATGTGCTTCCCCGCATTAAAAGACTTGGATATAATGCTGTTCAAATCATGGCTATTCAAGAGCACTTGTATTATGCTAGATTTGGGTATTATCTCCATCAAAATATCAGCTCATCTTTATTTGTTGCTGTTTATGTTTGTTAACTTGTACTAAAATGTTATGTTTTGGACGTAAACAGAAATATTTCTTCAGAATTTAGTTTTGGTTATGGAAACTAACCTCTTCTACTTTTAACAAGTTGCATTTAATATGTTGCAGGTATCATGTGACAAACTTGTTTGCACCAAGCAGCCATTTTGGAACCTGTGATGATCTTAAGTCACTGATAGATAGGGTTCACAAGTTGGGTCTACTTGTTCTTATGGATATTGTGCACAGGTAATAATTGGATTTGCAGGAGAATATAATTTCTAGAAACACACCCTTCAGCTTTATTTGCTGTTACAGTTTTTGTGCAATACGGTTTTTCCCAGCTTTTTCATACCAAAAATAAAAACATAAACTCTTTTTCTTCTTTTTTTTTTTCCTGCTTAGACTGTATGGTCATTCTTCCGGTAGACTTGATGCAAATATGGCTATGAGAATTTAGGCTGTTATTGGTCCTTACTCTTCCTATGTTTTTTCTAGTTGCTTTTGGCTTCCTAAATGGTTTCTAAAGAACAAACCTAAAAGGGAGAAAGCAAAGTAATAATTGTTTGAAAATATATATGATTAAATGCAATATAATTTGTAGTATAATTGTTCTATTAAAAGAGAAATCATAGAATTTTGTTCTACAAGAGATTATATTTTTTATTTTTAATTCTTTTAAGTATTATTGTCTTTTCTTACCATACTTCCTTTTGCTTTTGCAAGCAAAAGCTAGTAGCAAAACAACTACAAATGGAATCTTTATGGTATTGTTTACAATGAAAGTTTTATCTTTTGCATGTCGTTAATGTTTAAATTCTTTTCTAACGTTGTAGGCAATTTTTATTCAAGTATTTGCTATTTGCTTTGTTGAGTAATCTTTTGCTATAAGTCTTCATTAATTTTTTATTCTTTAGTTAAATTAGGTTATTAAATTAAATTCTCATCCATCTTTGTATCTTACTAATGTTTGACTAATAAAGCCACATGCATCTAATAATATGTTGATGGATTGAACATGGTTTGATGGACCGATGCTCTTACTTCCATCGAGGTCAAAGGGTACCATTGATGTGGGATTCTTTTTCCTTTTTAAATTAATTATGGTAGGTGGGGAAGTATGTACTTCTACTGAAAACTTCTCTTAAACAATAGCTTGTTGAAAGATTTTGGCTTCCTTCCATCCTATTGTGTGTAAATATTAATTTTTACTTGTTGCTTTAGGTACTAAGGTTTCTTCTTTCAAATGCAAGATGGTGGCTGGACGAATACAAGTTTGATGGGTTCAGATTTGATGGTGTGACTTCAATGATGTACACCCATCATGGGTTGCAGGTAATATCTGAGTGAGTTTGCAAATTTTCTATTTTGCTTGGTGTTATATAATAAGTTACTTGCATGTTCAGATGTTAATTATCAAAGTTTTGACTTTATGTTATATAGAGAAGTAGAACTGATGTAACATTTGGTTCTTGTAAGTGGTGAAGCATCATTTCTCTATGTTTGTTTCTTAACTAAATTCTCTTGAGGACTAAAGGTTGTTAGTGTCATTGCATCATTATAATGTATTATCCCGGCTTAACCTTTGTTTTCTTGAACTTGCTGTAGGTAGCATTTACTGGAAACTACAATGAGTATTTCGGATAAGCAACTGATGTAGATGCTGTTGTTTATCTGATGCTGGTTAATCATATGATTCATGGGCTACATCCTGAGGCTGTCACCATTGGTTAGGATGTATGTTCTATAACTCTTCTTTGAGTCACATTGAGCATCCTTCGACTTATAATCATTTTTCTGTTCCAGAATTATGATGTCCGCTTTAAGTCTCCTGTCTCCTTTACAGCAACATTTGTTGCACTGGGTTGCGTAAATGGAATGGGGTTTCAATACTTTTTTACGTGATCCATGAGGATGCTAAGTGTAGAAATGGTTTTGAAAAAGTTTGCACACATGTACTTGTCTGTGCGTAAGCCTACCAAACATTTGTGTATTGTACATGTTTTTCTAATTCTCTACTGCTTCATCACTTCTCTTCATGCATCAATTGAATTCATATGCCATGAGTAAGTAGGTTACCCTGCTAGTTGTTAAGTGTTTTGATATTGTAGAATGAACTAAAGAATTGAAAAAAATGCTTGTTGTAAATTGAACTAATTTTTATTGTAAACCAAGAGTTATGGAAACATAGCAACTAAAGATGCCAAAAATGAAAATTCCAAAAACACTTGAAAGGAACAAACAAGAATCTCTAGAAATCTTAAAATATCCTTGCTTTTCACATATTTCATCTTTTGTACAAATAATTCACCTAAAGAGCTACTAGCACAATAAAAGGTAATTTATGTTTTACCCTTTAGAAATATTAGCATAGTAAGGAACATTTAATTGATAAAATGTTTATATTGGAGTGATTTAGTTGCAGATTTTCATATATTATTTACAAAAATAACATTCTTTATGTTCTGTGAATGTTGAAGAGGAAAAGAAACAATAGTTGAAGGTAGACTTCCACCATCTTAAATTGTCATCTATCATAATAATCAATTCTCCCCTGCTTTTCTCTTTGACTCTGACCCATGTGCTCTAAGATGTATGCCTCAAGAAACTGTAGTATTTTCTATACCAACTGTTCATAAGCGATGCTTATGTCTTCTCTAAATGCAACTGTTGAAAGAAGTTAAAAGTTATCTAAGTTTGGTTTGTCAAAACATTTAGCTTAATGTTAAATCTGAATGTAAACATGGACTTTATATATATACATATATATGTATGTGAGCATGAATGTTCTTCTTAATGTCTTAATGGACTGAAGATTAGGTGTATAGTCTGGTGCAGTTGGTATTCTTAAAAGCTCCAAATAGAAAAAGTTAAGAAGATAAACCCTGTCAAAGTTTCTATAATTAAGTGCAAAAGTCACCTTGCTTATGTAACAAATAATTGTATTAGCTAATTCATATATTTAATGCCATGCAGTTTCAAGTATAAAAGGGAAGGTGAATGTGTTTTAAGTGCTTAGAAAGCTATGTTGATTTACATTGGCAGTGATTTATTGTCTATTTCTATATTTAAATAACATCTAATGGTCAATTCTACAAATATTAATTGTTTTTTAACAGAATGAGTTTGGTGTCTGGGAGATCTTTTGGCCTAATAATGCTGATTATTCACCACCAATTCCCCATGGTTCTCAGTGAAGGTAAATTACCTGTAGATGAAACATAAGTTTGGCTCTTAAAAGTTATTGAGCTTACATTCAAATGCTACTTGTTTATTATTTCCTTTTGCCACTTTTTAAGTCAGAGTAAAAAGAAAGTATAAAAACTTGCAACTCTTTCCCTGTAGATCACAATGTATTTAACCTTTTGATCATGATCTGTGGACCAGGAACCTTAGTATGATGCTTTTTTTTTTTACATTGATCCTATTGCATGTTTATATGGTTTGAATAAATCAGTGGTTTGTACTACAACCTTTACAATAATTAATTACTAGAATTCATGACATAAAGGAATTGAAGTATTTAATGGGGTGGTCTCCAAGGCAATCAAAATTATTCAAGGTAGCTGAGTTCAAATCCAACTAACTCCTACCCCTAAAAGAAGGGAGAAAGAAAGAAAAGATGAAGATGAGCAAAAAAACATTTTTTTGTTGGACTGTTATGATCATGTCAATTATCATTCATCCAAACCTCTTTTTCCATGTGTCCATTTTAACTTTTTGACCATATAATTGCAGATTTGTATGGAAACTCCATCTGGGATTAAGGACTCCATTCCTGCTTAGATCAAGTCCTCTGTTCAAGCACCAAGTGAAATCCCATGCAAAAGTCATTTTCAAAGCAAAACAGCAAAATTTCAAAGCTTTGAGTGCTTCCCCCAAGTTTGTGCATAAATATAAAAACAAGTTAGCACACAATTAATTACATCAAGCACCAATAAGAGTTTCACAAATAATGTCCAAATATCAAGATCATTCACGCAATCCTAATATCAAGAGCATTCATTCACATGTAACAATACCACATGAATTCTCTTGAACATGTATCTAAAGCAAATAAGCACGAAACACAATGAAATATTAAAACTACGTGAATGGTTTCTATATCACAGTTTGAAATTGTGCAGAATGGTTTTTTCATGCGCAAAGCTGTTTGGAAATAAATTTTTGATATTTTAAACTCCAAAATCCTTTACAACTTGCACTCAACACTGTGAAAAATTAAAACAAACGCAAGTTATATCATGTTTCTTTGCTTAAGCAAGTTTAAAGCATTGAACTTAGGATATTAAAATTCATTTCCATTCAAAAACTTGCGAAAAAAGGGTTTCATATTTTAAAGCTTCACTCTAGCCAAAGTCATTTTCAAAGCAAAACAGCAAAATTTCAAAGCAAAACAGTGCTCCCCCAAGTTTGTCCACAAATATAAAAACAAGTTGACACACAATTAATCACATCAAGCACTGATAACAATTTCACAAATAATGTTCAAATATCAAGATCATTCACGCAATCCCAATATCAAGAGCATTCATATGTAACAATCCCACATAAGCAAATAAGCATGAAACACAACGAAAAAGTAAAACTGCAGGAGTGGTTTCCATATCACAGTCTGAAATTATGCATAATGGTTTTTTTCATGCAGAAAGCTGTTCGGAAACAAAATTTTGATATTTTAAGCTCTAAAATCCTTTACAACTTGCACTCAACACAATGAAAAATTAAAACCAATGCAAGTTATATCATGTTTCTTTCCTTCAGCAAGTTTAAAGCATTGGATTCAGGATATTCAAATTCATTTCCTTTCAAAAACCTGCAAAAACAAGGTTTCATATTTTAAAGCTTGGCTCCAGCAAAAGTCATTTTCAAAGCAAAACAACGAAATTTCAAAGCTTTGAGTGCTTCCCCCCAACTTTATGCTTTAAATATAAAAACAAGTTAGCACACAATTAATCACATCAAGCACCGATAACAGTTTCACAAATAATGTTCAATTATCAAGATCATTCATGCAATCCCAATATCAAGAGCATTCGCATGTAACAATCTTAGATGAATTCTCCTAAAAATATATCTAAAGCAAATAAGCACGAAACATAATGAAAAATTAAAACTGTACGAATGGTTTCCATATCACAGTTTGAAATTGTGTAAAATGGTTTTTTTCATGCCCAAAGCTGTTCGGAAATAAATTTTGATATTTTAATCTCCAAAACACTTTACAACTTCCACTCAACACTGTGAAAAATTAAAACCAGCGGAAGTTAAATCATGTTTCTTTGCTTGAGCAAATTTAAAGCATTGGATTCAGGATATTCAAATTCATTTCCATTAAAAAACTTGGGAAAACAGGGTTTCATATTTTAAAAATTCACTCCAGGAAAAGTCATTTTCAAAGCAAAACAGCAAAATTTCAAAGCTTTGAGTGATCCCCCTATGTTTGTGTATAAATATAAAAATAAGTAGCACACAATTAATCACTTCAAGCACCGATAACAGTTTCACAAATAATGTCCAATTATGAAGATCATTCATGCAATCCCAATATCAAGAGCATTCACATATAACAATCACAGATGAATTCTCCTAAAAATGTATCTAACGCAAATAAGCACGAAACACAGAAAAATTAAAACTGTGCAAATGGTTTCCATATCACAGTTTGAAATTGTGCAGAATGGTTTTTTTCATGCCCTATTCAGAAACAAAATTTGATATTTTAAGCTGAAAATCCTTTAGAACGTGAACTCAAAACTGTGAAAAATTAAAACGAACGCAAGTTATATCATGTTTCTTTCTTTGAGCAAGATTAAAGCATTGGATTGAAGATATTCAAATTCATTTCCATTAAAAACTTGTGAAAACAGGGTTTCATATTTTAAAGCATAACTCCAGCCAAAGTCATTTTCAAAGAAAAATAGCAAAATTTCAAAGCTTTGAGTGCTTCCCCCTAAGTTTGTGCATAAATATTAAAAAAAGTTAGCACACAATTAATAACATCAAGTACCGATAACAGTTTCATAAAAAAATCCAAATATCAAGATCATTCACGCAATCCCAATATCAGGAGCATTCACATATAACAATCCCACATGGATTCTCCTGAAAATGTATCTAAAGCAAACAAATATGAAATATAATGAAAAATTAAAACTGTGCGAATGGTTTCCATATCATAGTTTGAAATTGTGCAGAATGGTTTTCTTCATGCCCAAAGCTGTTCGGAAACAAATCTTAATATTTTAAGCTCCAAAATCCTTTACAACATGCACTCAACACTGTGAAAAAATAAAATCAATCCAAGTTATATCATGTTTCTTTGTTTGAGTAAGTTGAAAGCATTGGATTCAGGATATTCAAATTCATTTCCATTCAAAAACTTGCGAAAATAGGGTTTCATATTTTAAAGCATGGCTCCAGCAAAAGTCATTCTCAAAGCAAAACAGCAAAATTTCAAAGCTTTGTGTGCTCCCCCTAAGTTTGTGCATAAGTATAAAAAGAAGTTAGCACACAATTAATCACATCAAGCACCGATAATAGTTTCACAAATAAATTCCAATTATTAAGATCATTCACGCATTCCCAATATGAAAAGCATTCACATGTAACAATCCCATAGGAATTCTCCTGAAAATGTATCTAAAGAAAATAAGCATGAAACACAACGAAAAATTAAAAACTGCGTGAATGGTTTCGATATCACAGTTTGAAATTGTGCAGAATGGTTTTTTTCATGCCCAAAGCTGTTCGGAAACAAATTTTGATATTTTAAGCTCCAAAATCCTTTACTACATGCACTCGACACTGTGAAAAATAAAAATCAATGCAAGTTATATCATGTTTCTATGATGAAGCAAGTTTAAAAGCATTGGATTCAGGATATTAAAATTCATTTCCTTTCAAAAACTTGCGAAACAGTTAATCACATCAAGCACCGATAACAGTTTCACAAATAATGTCCAATTATCAAGATCATTCACACAATCCTAATATCAAGAGCATTCACATGTAACAATCCCACATGAATTCTGCTGAAAACATATCTAAATCAAATAATTACGAAACACAACAAAAAAGTAAAATTGCATGAATGGTTTCCATATCACAGGTCGATATTATGCGTAATGGTTTTTTTTTCTTGCAGAAAGCTGTTTGAAAACAAAATTTGATATTTTAACCTCCAAAATCCTTTACAACTTGCACTCAACACTCTGAAAAATTAAAACCAATGCAAGTTATATCATGTTTCTTTGTGCGAGCAAGTTTAAATGATTGGATTCAGGATATTCAAATTCATTTCCATTCCAAAACTTGCAAAAACAGGTTTTCATATTTTAAAGCTTGGCTCTAGAAAAAGTCATTTTCAAAGCAAAAAAGCAAAATTTCAAAGCTTCGAGTGCTCCCCCCAAGTTTATGCATAAATATAAAAACAAGTTAGCACACAATTAATCACATCAAGTATCGATAACAGTTTCACAAATAATGTCCAATTATCATAGTTTGAAATTGTGCAGAATGGTTTTTTTCATGCGCAAAGCTGTTTGGAAACAAATTTTGATATTTTAAAACTCCAAAATCCTTTACAACTTGCACTCGACACTGTAAAAAATTAAAACAAATGCAAGTTAAATCATGTTTCGTTGCTTGAGCAACTTTAAAGCATTGAACTCAGGATATTCAAATGCATTTCAATTTAAAAACTTGCGAAAACAGGGTTTCATATTTTAAATCTTGGCTCCAGAAAAAGTCATTTTCAAAGCAAAACAGCAAAATTTCAAAGCTTTGAGTGCTCCCCCCCAAGTTTGTGCATAAATATAAAAACAAGTTAGCACACAATTAATCACATCAAACAGCGATAACAGTCTCACAAATAATGTCAAATTATCAAGATCATTCATGCAATCCCAATATCAAGAGCATTCACATGTAACAATCACACATGAATTCTCCTGAGAATATATCTAAAGCAAATAAGCACAAAACACAACGAAAAATTAAAACTGTGCGAATGGTTTCCATATCACAGTTTGAAATTGTGTAGAATGGTTTTCTTCATGCAGAAAGCTGTTCGAAAACAAATTTTGATATTCTAAACTCCAAAATCATTTTACAACTTGCACTCAACACTGTGAAAAATTAAAACCAATGCAAGTTATGTCATGTTTCTCTGCTTGAGCAAGTTTAAAGCAT